ACCACTTTGCGGCTGAGCCGTTGTTGCTCCTAGACATTTCCACTTCACAATTACAGCACTTACAGTTGACCGGGGTAGCTCTAGCAGGGCAGAAATTTGACGAACTGACTTGTTGGAAAGGTGGCATCCTATGACGGTGCCACGTTGAAAGTCACTGAGCTCTTCCGTAAGGCCATTCTATTGTCAATGTTTGTCTATGGAGATTGCATGGCTGTCTGAGTCAACTGTCAGTTGGAGCGCAGGTGCACACTGCCTTCATATCATAGGCTTGCAGTAGCTTAAGCTTAATAATAGCCACACCAAACCTTAACAAAAGTTTGCTCGATTTTATACACGGCTTGGTTGGGTACCCAAGATTCACTGAAACACACATTCACACACAGTGAAAGAGAGTTATGATGATAGACCATAATACGGGACGGGAAGGTTACCTGGGAGAAAAGTGATTATTCTCGGGATGGAACATTTGTAAAATACCGGGAAAATATTCAACCCCAGTCTGTAGCTTATTCTTTAGATGTTTGGGGCTGCTGGTAAACCATGATGTGCAGGCATAATCAAAGTGACACTGGACTAGCGCACTTGCCAGAGTCTTTAGAGTGTCTATAGGTTTCCATCCAATTGGCGACAGATTTTCATGCAAATATTCAAAAATGTGCATAAAAACCATATGCACATTTCTAATTTAATTTAGCCAATGAAAATGTCTCAACAGAATTAAACAAAACAGGTTTTGCATATTTAAAGAACTGGTTTAGATGAATAAATAGGCTTACAATAATAACAATGATATGCAATAATAATAATGATCAAACAAATTATTATAAATACATCTAAGTTCCAAAATTGCATCTTACCTGAATAGGGAGTTGCACAGTAGCCTGCACTCTTCTCATCTTAGTCCACTACAATATAAAAACTTATATTAAAGGCTTTTCACTATAGGCATACTCTTTTTCCTCTAACTTTTGTTTTACTTAAATGAAAAAGGCCTCCATCTTTGCAATCAACAGTAGCCTGGGCCAAGGCTCTTCTGTTGGGCTCTCTCTCCTCAGTAGCAGGTGCGTGTAAGGCGTGAGAGAATGTTGATGAAGCGCGAATTTGGGGTGTAGGCTATGATAGACAGCCTCTCCTGGACAATTTGGCCTGCTACAATTTTATTTATCGGCTTATGTCAAATGCCGGCAATTACCAGCTAAGGGAAACCCTGGTGCATTTTCCCATCAGAGTTGTGTTTACATCAAATTGACTTGTTGCAGATAAAAGTATGTACGTAAATACGTAGTGCACATAAAAATACAATTTGAGGTTAAATTCCCATGTAACGATTAAAAAACACTAGTTAAATGGGTTTCCAACGCATTTTCAACTGTAGGCATACTGATGGTTTAGTCAATAAAAATGATTATTTTTATTTGTCAAATGGCAGCCAGGGATCGATCATCATGTCACCAGAATAAGACCATCGATATTTATTGAAAGGAGCATCAACCTCATCACTGTGCACTTTCACCACGTTCATCATAATTTATTTCATCTGTAGCCTAATAAACTGTGGTGATTTTTGTTTAAATCAGACATGTAGGCTACTTTTCTCGCATAAAAAGGTTGGATGGAAACCTGGTTAATGTGAAGCCATTTTGAGGATGCTGGAATTATATTTTGGATGAACGTGCGCATGCCTACGTGATACTTTTGAAGTAGCCTAATCAGATTAAAACATTGTGACTGGTTGTGTTTATGACACATATGAAAGGTAATACATATAAAAAGTGTAATGATAAATATTTCGGCTATATTGGACCGTTAGGTTCTAGGAGCGCAAGGAATAGCCGCTCTATTGGAGAGGAGGCAGAGTGTGTGTTAAGCTTCCTGAATAACTGGTCCTGCCGGGTGCATATGTGGCAACATTACTATAGGACGACTTGATAATGATAATCTGCAACAGACAGCGTATCAGAAGTAAAAATACAGACAGACTGGCCTGCTACTTTGCCTTTCTAGACCTTATAAACTGTCGAGAGTAGAATCACAGGGCTTTTGCGCAGTTATTCAAATGAAATTTTCACTGCAGCCTAGAGTAGGCTAGAATGTTGTACTTACTTGAAGACAATTATGAAATTATTCATTGCATTGTGGTGTTGTAGGCTAGTCTAGGTAGGATAATTATATTGTCCCTAAAGAAGATCAACAGGGGAGATTTTTTAGCTGTGTGTCTCATGTCTTCACTGTTCTTTAATATTCAATAATGCACCTGGCGTCTTGGCTGCCTATCAGCTATTCCTATTTGTTATAGTCGATTCATATAAAAAATGTATGCCGCTTTGAATGTTTTTATACGTGGTATGATTGTTAGTTAGCCTATTGCAGATCTGGACAAACGAGCCACCTACCACTATTGTCACTATGAATGGTGGGTAGAGGGTAGGATACGCACTACCCTCCCCTGTGCCCAATAAAAAAAACACGCAATCCTCCCCAAATCAATAAGAACAGTTTGACAACCCTCCCCTATTTTGGACCACCCTCCCCCCAGAAAAATTCTGCACCATTCTCTCTTCAAGATCCCCACCAGTTTCTCTCTCAGGTTGAACTGCTCCAGCACAGCCGCAAGCTTCCCAGTGACAAGAGCCTACCAGAGGAGCTAAATTACTTTTATGCTGGCTTCGAGGCAAGCAACACTGAAGCATGTTCCGGATGACTGTGTGATCATGCGCTCCCTAGCCGATGTGAGTAAGACCTTTAAACAAGTCAACATTCAGAAAGACATATTACCAAGACCTCTACTCCGATCATGCGCTAACCAACTGGCAAGTGTCTTCACTGACATTTTCAACCTGTCCCTGACTGAGTCTGTAAAACCAACATGTTTAAAGCAGACCACCATAGTCCCTGTGCCCAAGAACACTAAAGTAACTTGCCTAAATGACTACCGACCCATAGCACTGAAAGGCTGGTCATGGCTCACATCAACACCATTATCCCAGAAACCCTAGACCCACTCCAATTTGCATACCGCCCCAACAGATCCACAGATGATGCAATCTCTATTGCACTCCACACTGCCCTTTCCCACCTGGACAAAAGCAACACCTATGTGAGAATGCTATTCATTGACTACACCTCAGCATTCAACACCATAGTGCCCTCAAAGCTCATCACTAAGCTAAGGACCCTGGAATTAAACACCTCCCTCTGCAACTGGATCCTGGACTTCCTGATGGGCCGCCCCCAGGTGGTAAGGGTAGGTAACAACATATCTGCCACGCTGATCCTCAACACGGGGGCCCCTCAGAGGTGAGTGTTCAGTCCCCTCCTGTACTCCCTGTTCACCCATGACTGCATGGCCAGGCACGACTCCAACACCATCATTAAGTTTGCCAATGACACAACAGTGGTAGGCCTGATCACCGAAAACGATGAGACAGCCTATAGGGAGGAGGTCAGAGACCTGGCCGTGTGGAGCCAGGATAACAACCTCTCCCTCAACGTGATCAAGACAAAGGAGATGATTGTGGACTACAGGAAAAAGAAGAGGACTGAGCATGCCCCCATTCTCATCGACGGGGCTGTAGTGGAGCAGGTTGAGAGCTTCAAGTTCCTTGGTGTCGACATCACCAACAAACTAACATAGTCCAAACACACCAAGACAGTCGTGAAGAGGGCACAACAAAGCTTTTTCCCCCTCAGGAGACTGAAAAGATTTGGCATGGGTCCTCAGATCCTCAAAATGGTCTACAGCTGCACCATCGAGAGCATCCTGACTGGTTGCATCACTGCCTGGTATTTCAACTGCTCGGCATCCGACCGCAAGGCACTACAGAGGGTAGTGTACATCACTGGAGCCAAGCTTCCTGCTGGTTGAGAGAATGCCAAGAGTGTGCAAAGCTGTCATCAAGTCAAAGGGTGGCTATTTGAAGAATCTCAAACATAAAATATATTTTGATTTGTTTAACACTTTTTTGGTTACTACATGATTCCATATGTGTTATTTCATATAGTTTTGATGTCTTCACTATTATTCTACAATGTAGAAAATAGTAAAAATTATGAAAAACCCTTTTGTCTGGTACTGTAACCTGTGCCCCCGCACATTGACTCTGTACCGGTAGCCCCTGTATATAGCCTCACTACTGTAATTTTACTGTTGCTCTTTTTTTTCTTTTTTTACTTAATACTTATTTTTCTTAAAACTGCATTGTTGGTTAAGGGCTTGTAAGTAAGCCTTTCACTGTAAGGTCTACACCTGTTGTATTCGGCGCATGTGACAAATACAATTTGATTTGAGTTTGCCACAATTGTGTGGTGGCTTTGATAAGCTTGTGTTTCAACAGAGAGGAAGAGGAAGAGAGGCCCAGCTCGGAGGAAAATCTATCTTCCTCCAGCAGGTGGCGTTTTTTCGTTGTTTCAAGCAATTAGTTTTTGTAAGGAGGCCAACAAGAGCGTCGAATTGGTCAACACACAAATGAATGGCTTATTTGCTACGTGAGGTTTATTTGCTCGAATAGAAGTTTCGTAATGCTTACGTTGTTATGAGTGTACTGACATAAGTAGGGCACGTGACATCACGGCAACTGAGAAAAAAACACTTTATATCGGAGTTGTCTCGAGATGGCTATTGACGTCAATAACTCTCATAGAATATTCAAATATTATTACAATAATGAGATGTATTAACCAATCCAAAGAGAGGATAGGCGGGAGCTAGACAGCCCACCGTGCCGCTTTGTGGACAACGACTCCCATTGTTAGGGCGTAGAGACTCTGTGCAAGGCTGTGACGTTTACAGTGGCACTCGTGTTGCATTGTGGGTATTCATGCATTTAAAGATTACAACGTTACATTTGATTGTTTAAATCAAGGAAATAGTATTTGAGTAGGAATATTTGTTGAATATGTGTCTAAATTGTTTATACATGATAAACAATAATATAATTTTAAAAACAACAAACGTTGATTCCTTCAATTGCATTCTGGGAAATATGTTATTCCAGCCCTGTCGTTTGTAGCGCGTAGAGATGTCAAGTGAAATAGCATGCCAGCCAATTTAATTGGGATTTAGCTAGCTTAATATATTTGTTGCCACATCATATTTTATGTATAACATAAGGAGACACATCTGTTAACTTGGATGACAGTCTTGGTAAGTAGCGTTAGCAAGCTTCAGATGCTCCTGGTCAAGACTACATGGCAAGTTAGCTAAATTAGAACATACTTTTTGACGGATGCTGAAGTTGAGGGATGTTGTGTTTGCATGTCAAGGTTAGTTCAGGTGTTGTTTGCTAGTTACTAACTACGTTAGTTACCAGCAAATGTTATGTTGCTGCTCGCGCATGGGGTTGGATTCCAGCATGCTCCCCCTGCTTCCTGCCAATGTTGTCAGCTAGCTACTGTAACTTCCTGTATTTTCAATGGCTATTGTGCTAAATAAATTGGTCCCTGGTTTTGTAATCATTCATTTTACATTGTTTTTAAAAGGTGTCTCCTCCATTATGTCCTCGGATGACCATCTTGCACAGAGGGAGAAACTCGAACGCCAAATTCTGGCGCTCGAGCGCACCCTTGGTCCCGAAAGCAACTCAATTGAACTATCTTCAGACAGTTGTTCATCTGGTGGGTATCTGAAGTATATTAAAGCAGTAGCGGTGCGTGGGTAAAATCACTGGGGGAGCCATATTACAACCTATGTGTTGTGATAATTGCGTTTTTTGCTCTATTTTGTTGATGATCACAAGTTTACTGGAGAACGGAGACCAAGTAGAGACTTTCGGACAAGGTGGATAATTGTATAATATAAGGCAGTTTATTCAGAGGTAAAGATATCTGAAAATAGCGTGCACGGACCCGTTCGTCAATCTCGTAGGGAGATATCTGAGAGCGAGCCCCTAAACATTGTGTGCTGACATTTTATACAATAAAATAAAGTAGGTTGATTCTAGTAGTTCTGATCTTCTGATTGGTCCTGATGAGTTGGTCGAGGTCACCTCCATTGCATTGGCTCTGAGTCGGGTTCTCTGTCTTCAGATGTTCAGCCTAAGAGAAGGGGGTTTTTGTGTGTGTGTGTGCTTAACAATGATGATGTGTGTGTGTGTGTGTGTGTGCGTGTGTGTATGTGTGTGTGTGTATGTGTGTGTGTGTGTGTGTGTACGTGTGTGTGTGTGTGTGTGTATGTGTGTGTGTGTGTGTGTATGTGTGTGTATGTTTAACAATGATGATGTGTGTGTGTGTGTGTGTATGTGTGTGTGTGTGTGTGTGGGGGTGTGTGTGTGTATGTCCTCAGAGCAAGAACTCGTGAGTTGGGAGAACTGAGAGACCTATGGCGTGGGTGTTGTCCATAGCCACCTGCTGATAAGGCCGACAAGATAGAAGTCTTTGTGCATTGTATTAAATACAAAGGCCCAACACAAGATGGGTCATGCACAAGATTTTAGTCAGACCAAGCTATAACATTATATATTTACTACGACAATAACCTGTTAATTCATATGCCTTGCGACCATGATATTATATATATATATATATATATATATAGTAGGCTGAGACAATAAGAAGACAGTGGCAGAAAACCAGATAGCAACCTATGTCCAGTAAAGTCCACAAAGCATATTGCATGTACAGTAAGTGGTCTGACATTTTCGGACCACTAAACAACTATTGATTTATAACCAGTTAACGTTACCTTACCGCAAATCGCAAAGAAAACAGGAGCTTCCTCCACTATTCCAGCACCATTTCAACTTCAACATTTCAACGTCATAAAATCACCTCTGCTTAGTCTAATACAGTGACAACTAAAAGATACCAAAAACTATTTAGTCCAATCAACGTAAGCTAAATATGATGAGGGTGTCCATGGTTCTGATTTCTGTGCGTGACATCCTCTTCTCTTTCAAGTTAACGAAACTGTCAATCACTCTGTCACACAGTACATGCTTTTATTTTTTTGTTGTCCTAGGCTACCTGGCTAAAATGCTTGCTCGCTATCCTAACTTCCGTTCATGGGCAACGTTAGCTAGTTAACAGCCTTCTACATCTAGCTACATATTGAACTGCCATCCTCTTAAGGCCAGGGGCACAACAATGTATGAATTAATGGTTGGTTCAGAATCGCCTTTATAATCATTGGCCAGTGACATACATTCAGCCTCTTGTGAATTTAAGGAAAATTATGAAACACAGAAAATTATAGTATGTTTTTTTTAATTTAATTTTTTGGGTAAATGTTTTGGGGAAGCCTGGCTTCCGTTGGCATCCATGAATACACGCCACTGTATTAGTCTTTTTGCCAGCGTGATGGCCCGTGGACTCTGGGTGGTATCCTTGGGATTAGATGGGGGGTGTTGCTTCTGCATCATTGTTGCAGTGGGTTTGCAGAGAGAGACCCTGACCCCAAGTTTTGCAGAAGTTATCTATCTAGATTTCGCCTATGGATAGTATTAAATGCATAGAAATAACGAACCATTGACTTGAATGGGAACTTCCATTCTATTAATTATATTTCTATGCATTTAATCCTATCGATAGGTGAAATCCAGATGGATAACTTTAGAAAAAATGGGCCCATGTCTAATCTTGCCTAATGACTCACCCCAAATTTAATTCCGCTGCTCTATCGATCGCTACACGTCAGTTGCAGGAGCAATGTAGATGGGTAGCCAGGCAAGGTCTAATCATAGAATGCAATTTAGTCTCCACAACTCCTTGGCTGTGTTTGCTTGGCTAACGGCTTTCTAAATGTAATTCGTTTTTTTAAAAACTGTTGGCAGATGATGGATCAGACGACAATGCATCTCAACCAGAAGATTTGGTAAGACTCATTGACATTTATGTTTACATTTACATTTTAGTCATTTAGCAGACGCTCTTATCCAGAGCGACTTACAGTTAGTGAGTGCATACATTATTTTTTTATACCCCCCGTGGGAAACGAACCCACAACCCTGGCGTTGCAAACGCCATGCTCTACCAACTGAGCTACATCCCTGCCGGCCATTCCCTCCCCTACTCTGGACGACGCTGGGCCAATTGTGCGCCGCCCCATGGGTCTCCCGGTCGCGGCCGGCTACGACAGAGCCTGGATTCGAACCAGGATCTCTAGTGGCACAGCCTTAGACCACGGCGCCACTCGGGAGGTCATCACCAATAGTACCGTGTTACCATGATTTTTCTCAGGTGAATTGAGAAATAATGTTAACCTGCTCTTCTAGGGTCCTCCGGGGAACCTGGAGGCAGAGCGGGAGCGAATACAGAGAGAGATTGAAGAGTTGGAGCGCACTCTTGGCCCAGGTGCATCTAATGCTGAGATTCTGTCAGGTAGCCCTTGCCTTGTGTTCTTTAAACATGTTATGCATTGTTTCATGGATACGTTTTCCTGCTAGTATACATTTCTACCATGTGTGACCTCTTTTATAATGTGTTGAAACAGATGAGGATGGCCAAGGAAGTGAAACAGAATCGGTTCGTATTGATGATCATTTTCACTATTCTAACACTCCAGTTTTCAGTTTGTCACATGATGTAAATAATGCAGTATATAAAGTGTCTGTAAAATGCCTGCCCTCTCCTTTCTCCCACATCTGGTAGAGCAAAGAGGACAGTGCTGAGGAGCTGGACCTACCCCAGAACGCAGATACATGTCTGCAAATGAACCTTGTTTATCAGGAAGTGTTGAAAGAGAAATTAGAGGAGCTGGAGCGACTATTATCAGACAATCAACAGCAACAAGTAAGAGGCCAACAACTAAAAGCATACTGCTTTTCTTAAAGGTGCAGTACGGAATCTGTGAATCTGTTAAAAGAAGCTGTGCAATGTCCATGCAATGTAATAATGTCTGTCTTTCCCTACAGAAAGAGATTATGACTCAGCTGTCTGGCACAGGAACTCCCCAGGCTACTACATCTGGACAACCCACACTGAAGCTTTTCTTGGGGAGCTTTCTGAAGCCCTATTTCAGAGATAAAGTCACATGTCTGGTAGGTATGAGTCTGCAGATTCAGTACAATATGAGCAGGGTCAGCGGGTTATAGCTTTGGTCGAAGGGATATCTCCATGTTTTAACATTACCTCTCCGATTCCCACAGGGCCCACCTGCTAATCCAGAAGCCAGGGAGAAGATGAGTAAAAGGATCAGACCTACTGACAACGTCAAGATGAAAAGATGTGAGTCTAAAAATAATAATCGTTAGACCTTAGTGCTTCTTGCATCCTTGTTATGTGACATCACCACTATGGGAATGTGACGTGGTGTCTTGATTACTTTTAAATTGGGGATTTTGTATTTTCAGGGGAAGGGTGGCAGAAGACTCTGCTGATAAATGCTGTCATCAAAGACAGCAGGAAACGCATGATACAGCCCAAGCTGTCCAAGTAAGTAAAGAGTAAAGGGTTATTGTTTTCCCCTGAAGAGTATCTTTGCAGAGTATTTTATATAAAAAAATGTATTCATCATGTACAGTGCCTATAGAAAGTCTACACCCCCTTGAGCCTATGGAAGAAGAATCTATAACACAACATTTCAACTGCAACGTTTGAACCTTTTTCACATTTTGTTGCGTTTTGAAGTGGGATTGAAATAGATGTAATTGTGATTTTTTTGTCATTGATATACACAAAATACTCCATAGTGTCAGTGAATTTTTTTTTCATATTTTGTTTTACAAATCAATATAAATTAAATAACTAAAATATAGTTGTTGTATAAGTATTCGCCCACTTTGTTTAGGCAAGACTAAATTAGTTCAGAAGTAAAATTTGGCTTAACAAATCACATAAGTTATATGGACTCACTCTGTGTGAAATAATAGGGGTTGACATGATTTTTGAATAACTACCCCTTCCTCTTTCCCCCATAAATACAACATCTGTAAGGTTCCAAAGTCAAGTATTGAATTTCAATCACTGATTAAACTACAAAGACCAGGGAGATTTTCGAAAGCCTCATAAAGAAGGGCAGTGATTTGGTAGATGGGTTACAATAACTAATCAGACATTGAATATCTCTTTAAGCATGGTGAAGTTAATAGTTATGCTGTGGATTATGTATTAAACCACCCAGACACATCAAAGATTCAGTCGTCCTTCTGAACTAAGCTGCAGGACAGGAAGGAACCTGCTTAGGGATGTTACCATGAGGCCATTGGTGATTTTAAAAAGGCTACAGAGTTCAATTACATTTGAGTAATTTAGCAGACGCTCTTATCCAGAGCGACTTACAGTTAGTGAGTGCATACATTTTACATACTGGCCCCCCGTGGGAAACGAACCCACAACCCTGGCGTTGCAAGCGCCATGCTCTACCAACTGAGCTACAGGGGCTGTGATTGGAGAATTCAACAACATTGTAGTGACTCCACAATAATGACCTAAATGACAAGAAGAAAAATATACAGAATAAAAAATATTCCTAAACATGAATATGTATGCAACAAGGCACTAAAGTAATACTGGAAAAAAAAAACGTCATAGAAGCACACTTTTTGGCCTAAATGCAAAGCCTTATGTTTGGGGCATGGTGGTGGCTGCATCATGGTGTGGGTATGCTTGACATCAGCAAAGACTGGGGAGTTATTCAGGATGAAAAGAAACAGGATGGAGCTAAGCACAGGCAAAATCTTAAAGGAAAACCTGCTTCAGTCTGCTTTACCCCAGACACTGGGAGAGGAATTCACCTTTCAGCAGGACGATAAACTACAACACAAATCCAAATCTACACTGGAGTTGCTTACCAAGAAGACAGTGAATGTTCCTGAGTGGCCTAGTTACAGTTTTTACATAAATCTGCTTGAAAATCTATGGCAAGACTTGAAAATTGCTGTCTTGTCATGATCCCCAGCACTTGACAGAGCTTGAAGAATTTTGAAAAGAATCATTTATAACCTTATGTATGTGCTTTGCACACCTGCCAGAGGTGTTACTAACATGTATTGACTCGGGTGAATACCTATCTATTCACGCTATATTAGTGTTTTAGTTTTCATGAATCTTTAAAAAATGGTAGAATTTTTCTTCCACTTTGACGTTACAGAGGATTTTATGTAGATCGTTGAGGAAAAATTATAATTAAGTCTATTTCAAACCCACTTTGTAAAGTAACAAAATTTGAAAAAAGTTCAAGAGGGTGTAGACTTTCTATAGATGGATTTTGAAATGGTAATGTGTTATTCGCTCCTGTGCTTTTCAAAATGTAGCAAAACTTCAGATTTTTACACAGGGTGTACGAAATGTAGGTTAACATTTTAATGAGGATTGTTGTCTGCCCATCTGTTGGAGGCTTTAACAAATGAAAATGTTCTACTCTGTCTGAAAATAGTAGTGCAGACCGACTGTCATAGCTGTTTTGTTTTATTCTTGTTTGTTTTGCTTTTTCAAGCGCTTTGAGATTATTTCTGTGAAGAAAAGCGCTATAGAAGTTGAATAGATTATTATTATTAACCCAATGGCCTTCATGAATAACACGTTTTTTGTCTCATAGGGTAGAATACCTTACACAGAAAATGGTCAAAGCTGAAAACGTGGAAAAGCAAATCCTGCGGAAACAAATCACTGAAATTGAAAAGGACATTGAGGCCATCAGGTGAGTCCCATCATAACTCTTTAATGGGTAATAATGACCTAGCCTATTAATTCCAAGATGAGTCAGGTTATCTTGTCAGACAGGTCTGTTTTGTGTTTGTTCTCACTTTACATGAAGAGATTAGATGGATTTGAATTGTTTAATCAATATGTATTGTAATGTTTATTCCTGAGTCAAACCATTGCTGTTTAACTGTTGCCGGATCTGCTTTACCTTTCAGTGCACTGAAGGAGGATGAGCTGCTGGCTGGCCGCTATGATGACCATGACTGGCAAAAGATTTCCAATATTGATGTGGGTTGAGTAACTTCTGTCATCTCCCCCATTCATATGTTTGTTTTCCTATTGTTAAAAATGCTTAAGTGTTGATGCTAAAATCTTATTCCTATCCAGTTTGAAGGCATCCGTGAAGCTGAGGACATAAAAAGCTTTTGGCAGAACTACCTGCATCCCTCCATTAACAAAGCCAGTTGGAAGGAAGACGAAATTGAGATGCTCAAGAAAGTCGCTGTAAAATATGGACACCACAACTGGGATCAGATTGCTGATAAACTTGGGGTAAGAGCAGACAGATAGGATTGGCCAATCATGACTCATGGTCATTACCCCTTCCTATCAGTGGGATCCAGAGGTGCTAGTTCCAGTCCTGATTTGCACAGTTTGATTGATTGGGCTTTGTTTAGAGACAAGTGCCTGATACTGAACTGTTAAGTTTCTCGGTAGTAGGTAGATCAAGTGTAATTCCCTGAACGTCTAACACAACCCATTTCTTTGAATGTGTAAACTATTCAGTATTATCCATTCCCCCCCTGTCTGTCTCACACAGACCAACAGGACAGCCTTCATGTGTCTCCAGACGTACCAGCGCTACATCTGCACCGACTTCAGGAGGAGGAAGTGGGGCGGCGTGGAGGACGAGATCCTCAGAGAGCTGGTTGAGAAGATGCGTATCGGGAACTACATCCCTTACACCCAGAGTAAGTCCCCACCACCCAGTGTTCACCCTGGGTTTTATGCATTAAATATGTTATTGTTTGTGCACATCGATGACTGTTGTTCTTATTGTTGGCCCCAGCTTATGTCCCCTTCATTGTAAGGCTCCAGTGAGGCGTAAAGCTCTCGGGATACTACTGTCCCCTGCTCTACTCTACTAATTATTTTCTCTAGACAAAGTGCTTGTTCAATACAAGATACTGTAGCTTGTCGCGGTAGTGCATTGTGTGTTGGGTTCTGGAAATTTCACTTGCTTTCTCCGTGATTTCTGTTTTACTCCAGTCTCCTATTTCATGGAGGGCCGGGATTCATGCCAGCTGATGTATCGGTGGACTCAGGTTCTGGACCCCACCCTCAAAAAAGGCTATTGGTCTAAAGAAGAAGATGAGGTATGGTCAGGAGGGTTTGGGGCATTTTTGTTGTGAAATTGATGTGGTTACAAGGACATTTTGAGAAGTCCCGATATGTATAGTTATTTGATAATATAAGTTGGTTGTTGTTGCAGATGCTACTGAGAGCAGTGGCTAAATACGGGGTGGGGAACTGGTGGAAAATCCGTCAGGATGTGCCTGGCAGAAATGATGGCCAGTGTAGGGACAGGTGAGGACTAACATGGACTGATCGATAATGCCAATATATTGACCAAACTCTCACAACATTCACTGACCATTTCCCTGATTGCCACCCCATTTTAGTTAACTCAAACTTTAAAAAGTGTTAGAACATACTGTCACTGACAAACTTTGTTTTATTCTGTAGGTATGTGGACGTCCTGATTGGGAACGTGAAGAAGGGGCCCTTTGATGAGCAGGAAAAGGCACAGCTCAGACGATTGGTGGAGAAATATGGACGTAGGAACTGTTATAGAAAGCTGACTATTTCAAAATAATCCATCATCTTTCTTGATAATAATCGTCTTACAGTTAATTTTGTCCCTTTTTATAGGTAAATGGTCTAAGATAGCTGCCGAGATCCCCAACAGAATTGACTGCCAGGTCCTTCAACAGTGGAGGCGAATGACAGGGTACAAGGTGAGTGTTGACTATGTAGCCTTTATGTCCCCCTTAACTCAATCTGTGACTCTGGACACAGTTGATTCTTGTTTTTGTAAACAGCCCAGACCTCAGAGGGACAAAAGGAAAAGAGCATTGCAGAGAAGGAGAAAGACAGCGGCTGTGAGGAGCATCAAGAGTAGGCTGATGAGGCTAGACGATGATGTGCACTCGAGCTCCGATGAGGAGGAGAACGTTGAGATGGAGTTTATGGACAGTGACGACGAGAAGAAACAGCAGAAGTTCTTTGATCTGTCTGATCAGGAAAGTGACATTATCGAAGACTACACCCAACCAGACATAGAGCAATGGATCCCCATGCCAGAGAAGGAGTTTGAAGGGCTGGGGAAGGTGAGGAGCATGATGGTTGAACGGCCCAGCAAGAATACAATGCAAGAGCAGGCAGCGACGGACAGCCAGGCCGCAGCACGCAAGTTCACAGTGGTACGCTCCACCATCCTGGACCGCTTTGGCAAGCCTGCTGCCACTGTCATTGGACAAAACCCCCCAATCCTAGCAAAGAAGGTACCGGCATTTATTTATTTATAAACAATCATGTGAGGTGTTGCACCATTATGTGTAACGTTAGAACTTATGCACATTTTCAACACCTGTCCCTATTGTCATTTTGTTCCCACTGTCTCTGCTGTGGCTCTGCAACAGCAACCATAAATATTGACTTCATCAGAGTATTACAAAACAGGATCATTAAGCTAGGCAGTTAACATGAATAAACATTGAAACATGAATCAGCTGTTTGGAGTGTGGAGTCAATTACACCATGCTCATTTAAAGTGAGTGTCTCTGTTTATAAACTCTGAAATATGATTATTATTTTAGAATATGTAGGAAAGTTAGCAAGCTAAGCCATTGATCCTGCTTTGTGACGTAAAGTAGCATGTGACATTCTCTGTATGTGTTCCTTCTAAAGGATTATAACAGTGACCTGGCCATGCTCAAGGTGTGCTACGGAGAGGTGAGAAACATAATCGCTTGGAAGAAAACCAATGCCACAAAACACGTAAGTCGCCAGGTGACGCTCCCAAAAAAAGATCTATATTTTCATTGAGCCTCTCTTTGTGGTGAAGCAAGTGTTTTAATTGCTTTTTGTCCCAAACAAAGATGTTTCCAGTGGGAACATTTTTATTCATTTGTCCGTATAAATGTTAATAAAATATGTTGATTTATTATTAGAATACATCAATACATCTGACCATTTCATACAAATACGTAGATTATAAACTGTTGAATCAAGGTTAGAAGGGAGTGAAAAAATATGTTGTCGTCATAGTTGTGTGCTCAACGCTTTAGTTGCATGGCCCACCTAGATCAATCTATGACACAGATGAAGCTTTGTTTATACAGAGGTCTTCTCCTTGTAAAGCCTGTGATGCATGTCTTCTGTTTTCTAGCCCATGTATTTGTCTCTGCAGAAAAACAGTGGGTCTATGAGCGGTGACCAGGGGACGCCCCACAATTCCTCAAGGCAAAAGGACTCCTCTGCCAAAAGTGAAACCTGCACCACTCTCAACTATTCCCTTCAGTTGGCAGTCACTCCCTGGGTGGGCAATGTGCTTATACCGCCACCACTCTTTTCAAACAAGCGCCGTGAAGGTACTTTATGAGATGTCAAGGCAATAAGTCACAACTTCTCTCTCACTTGTAGAAAATGACTATTTGCATTTTGTTCGTTTCATAAGAGTTGTTTCAGGACTGAACCAATGACTTGACTTGATCCTACGATCTCTTGTTTTTGTAGCGGACATGGTGCGAGAGAGAGCAGAGAGCATTGGACTCACCAATACCCCAGTGTTCTTGTTCTTTCTGCAGGTAAGGAATGAACCCACAAATACAACACTTTCTATGAATGAGCACAATTATGTCATTTCATATTATGCCAGTCAGGTTTTACTTAAGGATGCAAGCTCCTAGGCCAGCGTTTCCCAAACTAGGGGTCGCGATCGCCTGATTTGAAAATAGGGTCGCGAGAGAAACTCTAAAAATAAATAAATAAAATTGTGCTTGGTTCATAGAACCGGTGTACCTTAGTAACCTCCGGTAGCCACTTGATGTGGTTGTAATAAACGGGGGGGTTCTGTTTTCTTCCTAAAAATGTGCCTCTATCTTTTGAACCGTTTAAGCTACAAAATATTATGAGCCCATCACTGAAAGATAAGACTCTCAGGAACACATACACTGAGTGTACAAAACATTAAGGACACCTGCTCTATCCATGACATAGACTGACCAGGTGAATCCAGGTGAAAGCTATGATCCCTTATAGATGTCACCTGTTAAATCCACTTAAATTAGTGCAGATACAGGGGAGGAGACAGGTTAAAGAAGGATTTTTAAGTCTTGAGACAATTGAGACATGGATTGTGTATGTGTACCATTCCGAGGGAGAATGGGCAAGACAAAGTACTTAAGTGCCTTTGAACGGGGTATGGTAGTAGGTGCCAGGCGCACCGGTTTGTATCAAGAACTGCAACGCTGCTGGGTTTTTCACCCTCAACAGTTTCCCGTGTGCATCAAGAATGGTCCACCGCCCAAAGGCCATCCAGCCAACTTGACACAACTGTGGGAAGCATTGTAGTCAACATGGGCCAGCATCCCTGTGGAACGCTTTTGACACCTTGTAGAGTCCAATATCTTTCTGATGCATTTCAGTCACTTCAAACCATACTTCCTTCAGATTGAAATACTGTTCTGTCAAAAGTAGTGTCAGACTGATTTGTAAAAGACTGTCATAGCCCAAATTTAAAAAGTAAACATTGGCCGCTGATTACATTATTATTATTTTATATAAAAATGGGGTCGCTGGCCAAAACAGTTTGGAGACCCCTGACGTAGGCCTATGCAGATATTATGGCCAGTAACATACAGGAAAGATTGAACACATTTTACAACAAATGTTCTTTATTGGCATATCAAGAGCACATGACTAGCTATTATGGTACACAATGAATGCATCATAACATCAGCCCAGATTATCTGAAAAAGGTTAACTGATTATAATACCATATTTTGAATCCATTGTCAGCTGATCCTGATAGTATGACCAATGTATTATGCATTGCTCATTTTCTAATGTTGTGATCTGAAACAGGTCCTCCGTGTAGATGCAGAAGGCTGTAAGCAGATAATTAAAATGCGTAACAAACAAGTGAGTATAATTTACCACACTATAAACAAAAAGTTATCATACTTTACAACCTTTATACGGTTTTACATTTTTCTACTTATAATCAATTTGAACAGGGCTTATTGTGACAATTGTGATGTCAATTTATCTGTTTCAGGCTGTACTCATGGGACACAAATCTTGGGAAGCGAATCAGGGTAACATTATATTTGTATATGGCCTTGAATATGTCATACCCTGTGAAAGTGACGGCCACTTCTGCTTTACTTCTGTATCGTTTACTATGCTGAGGGGCAGTCACTTCCTGGTTACTTTCAGGGTATTTTTACCACCCAAAATCACTTATACATTAGCTAAGAGCCTCAGTACTCAGATCAGTGATGGTCAACTGCAAAGTATATTTTTTAATAAATCTATTAATCGATATTACATTTATAATGCGAGTTTAATGTAAATGCCCCTGTTTTTATTGACTTTTTCTAGCTTCATTGAAAAAACCAAAGCTACGCCATGGTCCCAGAACAGTGGCCAGTATGCTGAACCAGAAGGGAAACGAGCAACAGAACAGTCAGCAGCAGAACAGTCAACTTGTGATGATGATTCCTCAGACCTTTGTCATTACACAGCCTGTAGTACAGTCCATCCCACATCCTGCGGTCCCCTCCACTCCAACTTCCAGACAACAACTCATGCCTTCCACACTTACCCAACTTGGACCCTCTACCCCCATCCTACCCATACCCTCCACACCTGGTCAACCTGTACCCTCTATCCCCAGCCGACCTATACCCTCCACACCTGGTCAACCTGTACCCTCTATCCCCAGCCGACCTATACCCTCCACACCTGGTCAACCTGTACCCTCTATCCCCAGCCGACCTATACCCTTCACACCTGGTCAACCTGTACCCTCTATCCCCAGCCGACCTATACCCTCCACACCTGGTCAACCTGTACCCTCTACCCCCAGCCGACCTATACCCTCCACACCTGGTCAACCTGTACCCTCTACCCCCATCCTACCCATACCCTCCACACCTGGTCAACCTGTACCCTCTACCCCCATCCTACCCATACCCTCCACACCTGGTCAACCTGTACCCTCTACCCCCAGCCGACCTATACCCTCCACACCTGGTCAACCTGTACCCTCTACCCCCATCCTACCCATACCCTCCACACCTGGTCAACCTGTACCCTCTATCCCCAGCCGACCTATACCCTCCACACCTGGTCAACCTGTACCCTCTACCCCCAGCCGACCTATACCCTCCACACCTGGTCAACCTGTACCCTCTACCCCCAGCCGACCTATACTCCCTGCTCCCATCCAATCCTCAACTACAATAGACAGGGTGAACGAGGAGGCAAATGAGAATCATTCAGGAAAAAAACGCATTCGCAAACCTACTGAGAAAGCACAGGCCCTCAAGGAGGCCAAGGATGCTGCAATTGCTAAAAAGTCAGTGGAAGAGTCGCCCAAACGCAAGAAAGCCCGTACGCGAAGTCCTCCCAAAGAGAGCATAGTTGTCCAACCTTCTAACGTGGTTCTGTCCCCTCCACAAACTGCCTGGGTCCTGACGCCCATTGGACTTGTGCCAATCAGTGGCATTGGCATCCAGATGACACCTCGGAATTTACCAGCAAATGCATTTGCACCTGCTTGTCCATCTATTATTATCAACCAGCAAGTACCTCTAACACTAAATGCTGCTGCAGCACAGGCCTCTCCCAATATGACCTATGTCTGCCCATGTCCCTCTACCCCTGAAGACCCATCTGCCCTCATGGTATCTCCTGCCTCATCCATAGGACAGGGAACTGCCTCCCCATCTGTGTTAACCTCTCTCTCCACCTCCACTACCTTCACAAGCAACACTGCTCCAAGACTGACCAACCCAGTGAACAGCGTGAGAATAACTAACCCAGTCATGCAGACTGTGGCAACCGCTGGTCCTCAGCTCAATGCAGTTTCACCTGTTCTCTCTGTTCGCATGAACACTGTCATCTCGGCTCCCATTAGACCACAGACTGGACCTCCGCAGGCTTTAGTCCTCAACGTCCCTCCAAGCTCCCTTCCAGCCTCATTCCCACAGAGGGGAGCCCTCCGAATCGTGCAGCTTAACCCCCCGAAACGTGTCTCTCCACCCCGCAATCCGGAGCTAATGCAGTTTGATCCCAACCTGATGTTCATGGAGGACCCGGCACAAGTGAGAGAGTGGTTGAGCGGCAAGCGAGGAGTTGCGCTTCCGGATTTGGATGTCACTCTGCCCTACCTACCCCCCTTTGTCAGTAGCCTTAATACCCTGTCGGGCCTCCTGAAATGTAAAACGACTTTGGCAATTAATGCAATGCTGGTCCTGCCCCCAGAGGAGAAAGAGAACCAGGAAGAGCAGCAGCAGGTAGCTGCAGTGCGGAGATTTGTAGCAGAGCGCTTCAGCCATAACCCAGGCTATCTGCTCCTGAAGGCTCGCTTCCTGTCCTGTTTCACCATGCCTGCTCTTCTGGCTACTATCAATCCAGTCAAACTCTCCAAGTCCCCCACACCGGACCACAGTGATGTGGAGGAGGAACCTTTCAGAAACCGTCCAGGGGAGCAGACAGATACTGGGTATGAACAGCCAACAACACTCCAGGTGAGTTCAGTCTCAAAACATGTGTTCGATACACTGCAATGCTGTCCTCTTCTTTCACTGAACCACTGAGCTTGTGTTATGATCTTTTCTCAGGCCCCTCTGCTAAGCACTGACGGAACAGGACCTCCTGCCACCTTCTTCTCTGGAATCACCACAAGAAATAAAAGCCGCTACCTCAACACGGACACAGAGTAAATGGAATCGTTTTGGAATGACGTGTGGTCTTACAGGTTAACCAGGTTTTATGTTTGAAAGTTCTTTCCAATTTTGTTGTGATATCACTGTCATAGAAAGCGATGTTACTGGAATTGATAGAGGATAGCAGTGGATAGCTGTATTCTAAGATGTCACTCAATACAGAATAGTTCAGAAGAATTTTAAGCTGTTGAAATTGAACTAAAGCAGCCTTTTCTTAGTCAAGATCACTTTGAGTCAAAATGCAAGCTGAGATCTACCACTCAGATAAAAAAATAAATACATGACTTAAAAAACGTAAGCCTATGCAACATTACCCAATTAAAAACAGTTATGTAGCAATGAGGTTTGTGCAGTAGGCTATAGGCCCCAATACATTATCACTGCATATTGGGTCTGCGTGAATTACCCTGCCAATGTTCTTAGACCATTTTGATATATAAATATATATATATATATATATATATATATATATATATATATATAGTGAGGGAAAAAAGTATTTGATCCCCTGCTGATTTTGTACGTTTGCCCACTGACAATGAAATGATCAGTCTATAATTTTAATGGTAGGTTTATTTGAACAATGAGAGACAGAATAACAACAACAAAATCCAGAAAAATGCATTTCAAAAATGTTATAAATTGATTTGCAATTTAATGAGGGAAATAAGTATTTGACCCCATCTCAATCAGAAAGATTTCTGGCTCCCAGGTGTCTTTTATACAGGTAACGAGTTGAGATTAGGAGCACACTCTTAAAGGGAGTGCTCCTAATCTCAGCTTGTTACCTGTATAAAAGACACCTGTCCACAGAAGCAATCAATCAATCAGATTCCAAACTCTCCACCATGGCCAAGACCAAAGAGCTCTCCAAGGATGTCAGGGACAAGATTGTAGACCTACACAAGGCTGGAATGGGCTACAAGACCATCGCCAAGCAGCTTGGTGAGAAGGTGACAACAGTTGGTGCGGTTATTCGCAAATGGAAGAAATACAAAAGAACTGTCAATCTCCCTCGGCCTGGGGCTCTATGCAAGATCTCACCTCGTGGAGTTGCAATGATCATGAGAACGGTGAGGAATCAGCCCAGAACTACACGGGAGGATCTTGTCAATGATCTCAAGCCAGCTGGGACCATAGTCACCAAGAAAACAATTGGTAACACACTACGCCGTGAAGGACTGAAATCCTGCAGTGCCCGCAAGGTCCCCTGCTCAAGAAAGCACATATACAGGCCCGTCTAAAGTTTGCCAATGAACATCTGAATGATTCAGAGGAGAACTGGGTGAAAGTGTTGTGGTCAGATGAGACCAAAATCGAGCTCTTTGGCATCAACTCAACTCGCCGTGTTTGGAGGAGGAGGAATGCTGCCTATGACCCCTAGAACACCATCCCCACCGTCAAACATGGAGGTGGAAACATTATGCTTTGGGGGTGTTTTTCTGCTAAGGGGACAGGACAACTTCACCTCATCAAAGAGATGATGGACGGGACCATGTACCGTCAACTCTTGGGTGAGAACCTCCTTCCCTCAGCCAGGGCATTGAAAATGGGTCGTGGATGGGTATTCCAGCATGACAATGACCCAAAACACACGGCCAAAGCAAAAAAGGAGTGGCTCAAGAAGAAGCACATTAAGGTCCTGGAGTGGCCTAGCCAGTCTCCAGACCTTAATCCCATATAAAATCTGTGGAGGGAGCTGAAGGTTTGAGTTGCCAAACGTCAGCCTCGAAACCTTAATGACTTGGAGAAGATCTGCAAAGAGGAGTGGGACAAAATCCCTCCTGAGATGTGTGCAAACCTGGTGGCCAACTACAAGAAACGTCTGACCTCTGTGATTGCCAACAAGGGTTTTTCCACCAAGTACTAAGTCATGTTTTGCAGAGGGGGATCAAATACTTTTTTCCCTCACTGTGTGTATATACACTGCTCAAAAAAATAAAGGGAACACTTAAACAACACAATGTAACTCAATCACACTTCTGTGAAATCAAACTGTCCACTTAGGAAGCAACACTGATTGACAATACATTTCACATGTTGTTGTGCAAATGGAATAGACAACAGGTGGAAATTATAGGCAATTAGCAAGACACCCCCAATAAAGGACTGGTTTTGCAGGTGGTGACCACAGACCACTTCTCAGTTCCTATGCTTCCTGGCTGATGTTTTGGTCACTTTTGAATGCTGGCGGTGCTTTCACTCTAGTGGTAGCATGAGACGAAGTCTACAACCCACATAAGTGGCTCAGGTAGTGCAGCTCATCCAGGATGGCACATCAATGCGAGCTGTGGCAAGAAGGTTTGCTGTGTCTGTCAGCGTAGTGTCCAGAGCATGGAGGCGCTACCAGGAGACAGGCCAGTACATCAGGAGACGTGGAGGAGGCCGTAGGAGGGCAACAACCCAGCAGCAGGACTGCTTCCTCCGCCTTTGTGCAAGGAGGAGCAGGAGGAGCACTGCCAGAGCCCTGCAATATGACCTCCAGCAGGCCACAAATGTGCATGTGTCTGCTCAAACGGTCAGAAACAGACTCATTGAGGGTGGTATGAGAGCCTGACGTCCACAGGTGGGGGTTGTGCTTACAGCCCAACACCGTGCACGACGTTTGGCATTTGCCAGAGAACACCAAGATTGGCAAATTCGCCACTGGCGCCCTGTGCTCTTCTCAGATGAAAGCAGGTTCACACTGAGCACATGTGACAGTCTGGAGACGCTGTGGAGAACGTTCTGCTGCCTGCAACATCCTCCAGCATGACCGGTTTGGCGGTGGGTCAGTCATGGTGTGGGGTGGCATTTCTTTGGGGGGCCGCACAGCCCTCCATGTGCTCGCCAGAGGTAGCCTGACTGCCATTAGGTACCGAGATGAGATCCTCAGACCCCTTGTGAGACCATATGCTGGTGCGGTTGGCCCTGGGTTCCTCCTAATGCAAGACAATGCTAGACCTCATGTGGCTGGAGTGTGTCAGCAGTTCCTGCAAGAGGAAGGCATTGATGCTATGGACTGGCCCGCCCGTTCCCCAGACCTGAATCCAATTGAGCACATCTGGGACATCATGTCTCGCTCCATCCACCAACGCCACGTTGCACCACAGACTGTCCAGGAGTTGGCGGATGCTTTAGTACAGGTCTGGGAGGAGATCTTGGCCAACAACCTCCTTCCCTCAGTAAGAGCATTGAAGATTGGTCGTGGCTGGGTCTTCCAGCATGACAACGACCCGAAACACACAGCCAGGGCAACTAAGGAGTGGCTCCGTAAGAAGCATCTCAAGGTACTGGAGTGGCCTAGCCAGTCTCCAGACCTGAACCCAATAGAAAATCTTTGGAGGGAGCTGAAAGTCTGTATTGCCCATCGACAGCCCCGAAACCTGAAGGATCTGGAGAAGGTCTGTATGGAGGAGTGGGCCAAAATCCCTGCTGCAGTGTGTGCAAACCTGGTCAAGACCTACAGGAAACGTATGATCTGTGTAATTGCAAACAAAGGTTTCTGTGCCAAATATTAAGTTCTGCTTTTCTGATGTATCAAATACTTATGTCATGCAATAAAATGCAAATTAATTACTTAAAAATCATACAATGTGATTTTCTGGATTTTTGTTTTAGATTCCGTCTCTCACAGTTGAAGTGTACCTATGATAAAAATTACAGACCTCTACATGCTTTGTAAGTAGGAAAACCTGCAAAATCGGCAGTGTATCAAATACTTGTTCTCCCCACTGTATATATATATATATATATATATATAAAACACACACACACACACACAGTACCAGTCAAAGGTTTGGACACACCCACTGTGTCTTTGTGATATGCAGAGTAGGTGAACGGATGAGCTCAGCATGTGTGGGTCCCACCGTGAAGCATGGAGGAGGAGGTGTGATGGTGTGGGGGTGCTTTTCTGGTGACACTGTCTGTGATTTATTTAGAATTCGAGGCACACTTAACCTGCATGGCTACCACAGCATTCTGCAGCGATACGCCATCCCATCTGGTTTGCGCTTAGTGGGACTATCATTTGTTTTTCAACAGGACAATGACCGAAAACACACCTCCAGGCTGTGTAAGGGCTATTTGACCAAGAAGGAGAGTGATGGAGTGCTGCATCAGATGACCTGGCCTCCACAATCACCCGACCTCAACCCAATTGAGATGGTTTGGGATGAGTTGGACCGCAGAGTGAAGGAAAAGCGGCCAACAAGTGCTCAGCATATGTGGGAACTCCTTCAAGACTGTTGGAAAAGCATTCCTCATGAAGATGGTTGAAAGAATGCCAAGTGTGTAAAGCTGTCATCAAGGCAAAGGGTGGCTATTTGAAGAATCTCAAATATAAAATATATTTAGATTTTGGTTACTACATGATTCCATATGTGTTATTTCATAGTTTTGATATATTCACTATTATTCTACAATGTAGAAAATAGTACAAATAAAGAAAAACCCTTGAATGAGTAGGTGTGTCCAAACGTTTGACTGGTAGTGCATATATATAAAACATTTGGTGTATGATCACACTGGTAATAGATAATTTGTTGTATTACTTGTGAGGCACAGCTGAGTGAACATAATAATTTGCTTTTATTTTTTTTACTGGACTGATGGCCTGCATCTGATGGTCAGTCTGAGGGGAGGGAGAAGCTGTGAGGCTTCCTCTCACCCAACTCACCATCTGTCGGCTCTCCCATCCTCTGCTGATAAAAGGGGACAGTCTTCCAGCTGATGGCAAAACAAGTCGCACTGCATTATTTTTGCCTCGTGCACTAATTCATGTTGTTACTCCTATGACCAGAAAAAGTGAAATATTCCTCAATGTTAAAAAAAGACAAGCCGCTAATAATAACTACACAAGCTTATCGGAACGCTTTGCTCTACTCATTCTTGCGGCTGCTGTGCTGATTGTAGCGTGAGTGGTAGTAGGGAGAATGTGCATTTTCTGGCTTATAAAAGTGTTGAACAAAGTGTTGACAGCGCTGAATAACAACTTTAAACATGAAGTTACTGATAAAAACAGCAGCTCTTTGCTGTATTCGTTGAGTCTCTAGTCATGGTTTTAAAAGTTTTGAAATCACAATATCAACTTTGCTGTGCGTTCGAGGCTTCTTTTTACAGTCTATGGCGCAAGGAAACTGTGCAGACATGGTGATCTGACCTATCTGATTGGCCTATAAGTTCACATGATTTGCTCTACCTTCAGACACATGAAATTGTTCATAATGGGAACACTCTTCCACGCGCTAGGGTTGCTGAATCAAGTGCACCTACTGCCAACAGTGCGAATTCAAAAAATATAGAATATAAGAACGCATGGCTTTATTGTTGGTTTTTTTACAGAAATGTTTGGTGTTCAACTAGGAATGCCTTGGAGATCGCAATCGACCAGTTGGTGACCACTGCACTAAACTAATGGTTCATATTTGTACTTGTTTTTGTTAATAATTTAATTATTCATATACATATTGTGAAAAGAGAAAGTATTGTGTTGACCTGTATATATTTTGTAATAAATCATTCTACTTATTTAAAAATAAATGTCTGGATGGATCTTCATAGCAGTTGGCTCAGGTTGACCCTCAACAATATTTTTGCAGATCACAGTCTATATACTTGGTGACATTAACATGGTGCATAATATACTGAACAAAAATAAATGCAACATGCAAAAATGTCAAAGATTTTACTGAGTTACAGTTCATAAAGAAAATCAGTCAATTTAAATAAATTCATTAGGCCCTAATCTATGGATTTCTCATGACTGGGAATACAGATATGCATCTGTTGGTCACAGATACCTTAAAAAAAAAGTAGGGGCGTGGATCAGAAAACCAGTCAGTATCTGGTGTGACCACCATTTGCCTCATGCACCGTGACACATCTCCTTTGCATAGAGTTGATAAGGCTGTTGATTGTGGCCTGTGGAATGTTGTCCCACTCCTCTTCAATGGCTGTGCGAAGTTGCTGGATGTTGGCGGGAACTGGAACACGCTGTCGTACATGTCGATCCAGATCATCCCAAACATGCTCAATGGGTGACATGTCTGGTGAGTATGCAGGCCATGGAAGAACTGGGACATTTTCAGCTTCCAGGAATTGTGTACAGATCCTTGCGACATGGGGCCGTGCATTATCATGAAACGAGGTGATGACGGCGGATGAGTGGCATGACAATGGGCCTCAGAATCTCGTCACGGTATCTCTGTGTATTTAAATTGCCATCAATAAAATGCAGTTGTGTTTGTCCATAGTTTATGCCTGCCCATATCATAACCCCACCGCCACCATGAGGCACTCTGTTCACAACGTTGACATCAGCAAACCACTCGCCCATACGATGCCATACACATGGTCTGCGGTTGTGAGGCCGGTTGGACTTACTGCCAAATTCTCTAAAACGACGTTGGAGGCGGATTGTTGTTGATAAATTAACATATGATTCTCTGGCAACAGCTCTGGTGGACATTCCTGCAGTCAGCATGCCAATTGCACACGCCCTCAAAACTTGAGACATCTGTGGCATTGTGTTGTGTGACAAAACTGCACATTTTAGAGTGGCCTTTTATTGTCCCCAGCACAAGGTGCACTTGTGTAATGATCATGCCATTTAATCAGCTTCTTGATATGCCACACCTGTCAAGTGGATGGATTATTTTGGCAAAGCAGAAATGCTCACTAACGGGGATGTAAACAAATTTGTGGACAACATTTGAAAGAAATGCTTTTTGTGTGTATGGAACATATCTGGGATATTTTATTTCAGCTCATGAAACATGGACCAACACTTTACATGTTGCATTTATATTTTGGTTCAGTGTAGTTTAAATCTGTGCAAAAAATACTATTATTAAGCAATAAGGCCCAAGGAGGTGGTATATGCAAAGTACCTGGATATAGCCTTTAGCCATGGTACTGTAGACAGGCGTGTGCCTTTCCAAATCATGTCCAATCAATTGAATTTACCACAGGTGGACTACAATCAAGTTGTAGAAACAGCTCAAGGATGATCAATGGAAACAGGATGCACCTGAGATCAATTTTGAGTGTCATAGCAAAGGGTCTGAATACCTATGTAAGTAATGTATTTCTGTTTGTTTTTTATAAATTTGCAAACATTTATAAAAAACGGTTTTCGCTTTGTCAAAATGGGGTATTGTGTGTAGATTGATGAGGGAAAACATTTATTTAATCCATTTTAGAATAAGGCTGTAACGTAACAAAATGTGGAAAAAGTCAAGGGGTCTGAATACTTCCGAATGCACTGGCGATATACCACAACCCCCCGAAGTGCCTTATTGATATTATAAACTTGTTACCATTGTAATTTGACCAGTAAATAGTAATTGTTTGTCATACCCATGGTATATGGTCTGATATACTACGGCTTTCAGCCAATCAGCATTCAGGTCTCGAACCACCCGGTATATAACACTCATTATAATTTGGCAGTGTGGTTTAATTGTGGTCAAAGTTTGTCCTCAAAGGGGCACACCTCTCTGCCCGTGAACAAATGTTTTTTTAGCCAGGTTGCAAAAGTTTATTAGCCTAAAACTAGGAATTGTGCAGTTCATGAGTTAATAGTGATGGAAAATTCTGGTAACTTTCCCAAAATTCTGGCTGAAATATCCCCGGGATCAGTATGGAATAAGCAGGAAATCCGGCATTCTCTTACCAGGATTTCTGGAAAACCTGGGAATTTTGGGAAAGTTACTGGAATTTTGCAATCCTAGTTAAGAAATGTCTTAATATTATATCGAGTGTATATAAACTAGTCAATACTCAGTGAGTAACCTGTTTTGAATATAATTTACAATGAAGAAAATACATAATTTTACCCTAACTTTCAAAACCAGAGTAATCAAGTCGTTTTATCAACAGAACTGTTTTAGCAACAAACAAGAGGGAAGGAAATGATTGAGGGAATCAGTCATTGTCTCAAAGTCATTAAAGAAGAGAGTGAGTAACTGCAGATGTCCCTACCAATACTATCATTCTAATCACTTCATAATTCTGTGTTGGCTTATTAGGAAAAAAGGAACATATGTTGGTAGGTTGATTATTCACAACTTTTCAAGAACTCACTACTGTTGTTACACTTTCACTATTAAACATTTAATAGTGAAGGTGTCTCAGCACAAATGCTTGTGAAATGGGGGAAATGGAAAAACTGAAATAACTTCTACAAAAAGGAACTTGACTCTTGCGTCATAAAAGAGCAGTTCCACATAACAGTTCCACATTTGGATTGTAGACACTTTAACAGATAGAGTTTGCTCCAAGTTGATAAACCCTTAGTGAAGGAGTTAGTGGACCAGCAGGGACTCGGAGACAATCATGACTGACAGTCAGAGTGTGTCAGATATGGAGGATGAGGAGTGCTGGGTCCAGCTGGAAGAATACAGACTGCTGCTGATAAAGACCATTGAGCCGTCAAGAATCACTCCCTACCTTCGGCAGTGCAAGGTGCTAGGCAGTGATGATGAGGAGCAGATATTCAATGACCCCAATCTGGTCATCCGCCGACGCAAAGTAGGTAAGGCACTGTTTTCTATTTCAGGTTATTGGGCAAACGGTTAAGTGTTCCACTTTTTACTTTGAACTACAACAATTACGTTGTATTCCAGGTCATCTTTATTGCAATTGCATTGCACATCTCAGAAGATTGCTATATATATATCAATCCAGCCGTTGAGAGATGTGATAATCTGCTAAATAAAGATAATCTGGAATGTGCCCACAATCTCCTGAAATGTATGTCCATACCTTACTTTTAAACCTCAGATCCATGCTCACAGGTGCACTATTGGATATTCTTCAAAGAACTGGACGCAAAGGCTACGTGGCATTCCTCGAGAGCTTGGAACTGGACTATCCTCAACTGTATCACAAAATTACTGGCAAAGAACCTGCCCGGGTCTTCTCTATACTAGTTGGTGAGTAGCTATAAACCATCTTTCTGTGGAAAAGTGTATTTTCCATTCAAGCTTTTATGTATTTTTGTAAGTTATGAGTTTAATTTATTGCTCAGATCCTTCAAAGTGCCGATGTCTGACTGTGACAATGGATTTGACCATAATATAACATCACAGGAGGTTGGTGCACCTTGGGGAGGACGGGCTCGTGGTAATGGCTGGAGCGGAATAATATCAAATACATTTTACATTGACATTTTAGTCATTTTAGCAGACGCTCTTATCCAGAGCGACTTACAGTTAGTGCATACATTTTTCATACTGGTTTCCATGTGTTTGATGCCATTCCATATACTCCGTTCCAGTCATTATTATGAGCCGTCCTCCCCTCAGCCTCCACTGCATAACATACTGTCCTCTCTCTGACATCATAGACACGGTGGGTGAGTCAGGACTGACTCAGTTCTTGATGAATGAGGTCACACGCCTGCAGAAGGGACTGCAGGAGGAACGCCGGCGCAGACAAGAGGCCGCTGCGGCTGCAGCCGCGCAGGAGGATGCTGGTCGGCAACAGCAGGTTAGGGAGAGGGAGCTGCGGAAGCAGCAGGAGCGCGTGCAGCGTATGCGGGAGGAGAGGGAACGTCTGTGGGAGGAGGTGCACCACCTGAAGGACGAGAAGTACAGCCTGATGCACAATGTGACCAAGCTGAGCGAAGAGAAGAACAGTGCCCTCATGTCCAACCGTGATCTGCAGCTGGAGGTGAGATGGGGAGAGAGGGGGTTGCAGCTCTGACAAACCCAAACCCAACAACTTACGACAAAAGCAATGGCTATTGGTTTACATTTTCAGTATAGGAAGTCCTCTGCTGTCAGACATGTTGACACATTTGTTAGAAAACAGCACAAACTCAATCAGCAACAGCGACAACAGTTTTTGAGATTTTTATTGATTAATAGATAGAGAAGCTGAAGCACTGCCTGATGAACGCAGAGAGCGACTCGAAAATTCAACGCAAGCGAACTGTGAAACTGAAGAACGCCATGGAGCAGAGACCCAGTCAGGACATGATGTGGCAGCTCCAGAGAGAGAATGATCTGCTCACAGCACGCATCCAGGATCTGGAAACTTCTGCTCAGGTACGTTTGATCTCTTCAGCGATAATTTCTCAACAAATGTTTGGATATGCAGTGAAATATAAAGGACACTGCGCTGCACTGGACACATTTTGGAATAACAGCTAGGAGTGGCATTTTGTGCACCGCAAAAAAAAAAAAAAAGCAAATAAAGTACATGTGATTTTTTTCTGATGCACAATTGTACCCTTTTGGCACTTCTGAGCCGAGTTGTGCTGAGCTGAGCAGAGCTGTACTGTGCTGGCTTGGTTACGCATCTACTATAGTTTGAGGGAACTCTGCTGAAAAGGACAACGTGAAAAGAAAGTATCTGAATCGGCACAGTACGGTTCAGGCCGGTACAGTAGTGTGATAAAATTATTGACTTGAGTGAGTAGTGTGACAGGATTCATCTGTATGTTCCAGCAGGGGACAGCTCCAGCCCCCTTGGATCAAGAGAGGCTGAGCACTGAGAGTTTAGAGGACTACAAGCAGCACTCTCAGGCTCAGCACCAGGAGCTGGTAAACAACATCTACACCCTGCGCAGAGATCTGCACGATGCTGAGGCATGGCAGAATAGGGTATACATCTCTTGTTTTCCACAACACTGAGCACTGTTTCGGATTAGTTCTAGAGAAGACTACTGATTATATAGCATTTCTTAAATAAAAACTATTCAACTGCTCTTTCAACACAGGTGCAAGAGGACCTCAAAAGTTATGACACATATTTTATTATTTCCTTAAAAATGCTGATCCTGAGCATCGGAATTCATATATTTCCTTATTTTTGTCATCTGCCCAAGCTTGTTCCTCATTCATTGGAATCGCTGCCTGTGTGTTCAATTGTGCAAGTTGGTTTTCCCCATGATGTGGCAAGTTCTATTGTTCCAATTGTAATACATAGGTTTGATTTATTCTTGCAGTACTTGGAAGCGAACGAGGTTCTTGACTTGAAATGCATAACATTGAAGAAGGATGCCAAAATGTATCGTGACCGACTGGAGGAAATCCTGAAACAGATGGATGAGGTTATCAGGGAGAGAGACAAGGTGAACATGGTGTGATTCTAGGACTGTGTCATTCTAAGACGTCACTGGCTTGGGGGCAAATCCTAACTTCTCCTTTCACTTTGTCTCCCATTGACTTCAATGCATGAATAAGTGAAAATTCAAGTGGAGGTTAAGATTTGTCCCTTAGTGCTTATTTTTATTTGATCCAAAAGAGTTGACTTATTATTAAATAATTGACTATCTGCGTGGTTGTGATCAGATGCTCATCCAACCACACTTGCCATCTGTTTGATATAAACCACTACAGCAAAGCAAACCAAAGCATCTGTTTTGTCTTTCCTCTATTGTTGTGATAGGCCATCGCCTCACGAGAGGAGTACCACCAGGAGAATTGCCTGAGCCTCCAGGATAAGGACCAGTACCGGAAGCAGATTCGGGAGCTGGGTGAGCTTTGTGATGAGCTGCAGGTCCAGTTGTTCCGGACTGAGGGAGAGGTTATGGCTCTACAGACCAGGCTTCACAGAAACACCTGCTCCCCACATGATGTGAGAATGGGTTCCACCAACCACTTCCATTTAGATCTGTTTTAATTCAAACATAGAATGTTACCAGAATCACTGAATTGCAAGCTTCTCAGATTCTCTCTCCATTAATTGTTTCCGTCGATTTTGTTTGAAAGGATAGCCTATTGATTTTGGAAACATATTTATATTAATTAACATCTTTCACTCTCAGACGTCAGACTTTGAGGATGGTTCCTTGCAGAGATTGTAAATATATAATTTGCTTCCTGATTTATAACAAATTAGTCCATGCAGTATTATTACGTTTACAACGTTCAAGGATCGGAATAATTCTACTTCTACTTTTGACCTCTGTGTTTCTGCTTTGGCAACTCATGTGTTTTTCTGTCTCTCCAACCCACGTTAGATTGAGTGTGCTCTTTTTGTGTGTTCTCTGCCACAGAAAAGCCAGACTAGTGAGGAAGACTGCAGAGACAAAGGCAAGAAATCTATGATAAGTGACAAATAATCATCACCCAAAAAATATATTCAATAACAATCAGAAAAGTTCTAGTTTTTGTGTTCAGGCTAATCATAAGCTTAGCTTAAGATGTGATTTTACCATGCTTTTTGAAATCCTAGCATTCTATGTTGTTAGCTACTTTACATTTTTTTTTTAAATCACAGCTAGTAGTGTGGAGCTGCAAAGTCAGACATCAGAGGAGTATGATGTGTGCATTGCTTCGCAAGACCACCCGTTGTGTGCAGGAGGGTCCAGGGAGGAGAATATCTCAGCAGTAAGTACCTTCAATTGTTTATCTCTTGACTAGTTGAGGTTTTCTTATTATATAACAAACCACTTATCAGTAGTTGTTTCAACTGAACTCACTTCTCTCTATCTGGATGGAACACACATAACCTTTTTAGCTCCTAGAGAAATTTGTTGCAGTTAAAAAGGAAACAGATATGAAGTTAATGATTAATGTGTATTGTAAATGTATTTTGCTTTGTTTCATGTGCCAGGAAAGAGCTCTATCAGTGGATGAACTCTTAGGCTGCAGCAAGCCCAGATCGAGGTGTAACTTCTACTACAGAAGGTTGGCAAGTTTATATGTTTTAGAGAACATTTGTTGAAAACGCAGTATTTGTATTTTGTCATAAATTGTCTCCATAGGGGTAAACTGCTATGCCCTGCTATGGGTTATGTATGGGAGTGATTTTGGTGTGGTAAAGGGACTTGATTTATGCTGCTTATGTTACCTTGTTCTTTGTAAAATGTTAATAATAATTTCATTATTCAACAACAGGAAACGTGCCCTTAGGAGGTCAAAGGCCACATGCAAGGAACACACACCTTGTGTCCTAGACAACAGCAGTGGAAGTGGCAACACTGACACGGATGGGATGTGACTGAGAGAGGGGGAACAGAGGACGGGCTGGGTGGCATGGCAAGGTCATTCAGACACATAGGCTAGTTTACATTCTTAAACAAAAAAAATAGGATTATTAAATCAATTGAAATAATCATTTTGTTGATATTATGAATATGTTTAATCTTTGTATTTTTCTAATAAAATTGTAATATTTTGAACCATGACTGCATGATGAATGTGTTTCTCTATGCAAGCTACTTGTACCAGAGACAGTTTCAAAACCTTCCTCTAATGTCTTTGCTTGTATGTGCATTTTAGAAGAAATGCAAAAGCAGAGGAAAGTGGGGATAATGAAAGGCAAAGAAAAGTAAAGCTACTATTTGTATAGACATCTTTGGTAAAGAGGTGTGGTACTCACTTGCACTTTGTGTACAAAATGCAGACACTGTTTGGAATTTATGGACACAAAAAGTTGCAATGTTTGCATTTCGTGTCACGGAATAAAAGGTTTTCACAAATGTTGCAAACGGAGCCCCCATAACTTGGAGCAGGGATGAGCAACTTTGATGGTGGTGGGGGCCACAAAAAAACTGAACTCATCATGAGGGGCTGCAGTGGCTCGTGGGTCTGCATACCCACATCCACACCTACACATGCAGTCAGAGATGGCCCTAGCCTTTTAGGGGCCCTAAGAATTTCTTTGTTGCCTAATCCATTTGAGTAGTTAATTTCCTGCCATTCTAAATATTCCTGCAATTCTACACATTTTGCCATGGGGTGTAGAGAAAATGGAGCAATTTTATAACACATTTCAAAATTATAACTCTCAACAGTAAGTTGAGACCCCGACTGAGTTCCAAATATATACAGTGGGGAGAACAAGTATTTGATACGCTGCCGATTTTGCAGGTTTTCCTACTTACAAAGCATGTAGAGGTCTGTAATTTTTATCATATGTACACTTCAACTGTGAGAGACGGAATCTAAAACAAAAATCCAGAAAATCACATTTGTATGATTTTCAAGTAAATAATTTGCATTTTATTGCATGACATAAGTATTTGATACATCAGAAAAGCAGGTTTCGGGGCTGTCGCTGGGCAATACGGACTTTCAGCTCCCTCCAAAGATGTTCTATTGGGTTCAGGTCTGGAGACTCGCTAGGCCACTCCAGGACCTTGAGATTCTTCTTACGGAGCCACACCTTAGTTGCCCTGGCTGTGTGTTTCGGGTCGTTGTCATGCTGGAAGACCCAGCCACGACCCATCTTCAATGCTCTTACTGAGGGAAGGAGGTTGTTGGCCAAGATCTCACGATACATGGCCCCATCCATCCTCCCCTCAATACGGTGCAGTCGTCCTGTCCCCTTTGCAGAAAAGCATCCCCAAAGAATGATGTTTTCTCCTCCATGCTTCACGGTTGGGATGGTGTTCTTGGGGTTGTACTCGTCCTTCTTCCTCCTCCAAACACGGCGAGTGGAGTTTAGACCAAAAAGCTCTATTTTTGTCTCATCAGACCACTTGACCTTCTCCCATTCCTCCTCTGGATCATCCAGATGGTCATTGGCAAACTTCAGACGGGCCTGGACATGCGCTGACTTGAGCAGGGGGACCTTGAGTGCACTGCAGGATTTTAATCCATGACGGCGTAGTGTGTTACTAAAGGTTTTCTTTGAGACTGTGGTCCCAGCTCTCTTCAGGTCATTGACCAGGTCCTGCCGTGTAGTTCTGGGCTGATCCCTCACCTTCCTCATGATCATTGATGCCCCAACGAGGTGAGATCTTGCATGGAGCCCCAGACCAAGGGTGATTGACCGTCATCTTGAACTTCTTCCATTTTCTAATAATTGCGCCAACAGTTGTTGCCTTCTCACCAAGCTGCTTGCCTATTGTCCTGTAGCCCATCCCAGCCTTGTGCAGGGCTACAATTTTATCCCTGTTGTCCTTACACAGCTCTCTGGTCTTGGCCATTGTGGAGAGGTTGGAGTCTGTTTGATTGAGTGTGTGGACAGGTGTCTTTTATACAGGTAACGAGTTCAAACAGGTGCAGTTAATACAGGTAATGAGTGGAAAACAGGAGGGCTTCTTAAAAAAAACGAACAGGTCTGTGAGAGCCGGAATTCTTACTGGTTGGTAGGTGATCAAATTCTTATGTCATGCAATAAAATGCAAATTAATTACTTAAAAATCATACAATGTGATTTTCTGGATTTTTGTTTTAGATTCTGTCTCTCACATTTGAAGTGTACCTATGATAAAAATTACAGACCTCTACATGCTTTGTAAGTAGGAAAACCTGCAAAATTGGCAGTGCATCAAATACTTGTTCTCCCCACTGTATATACCTGATATATCACGGCTGTCAGCCAATCAGCATTCAGGGCGTGAACCACCCAGTTTATAAATATATATACACTACCAGTCAAAAGTTTGAACACACCTACTCATTCCAGGGTTTTTCTTAATTTTTTACTATTTTCTACATTGTAGAATAATAGTGAAGACGTCAAAACTATGAAATAACACATATGGAATCATGTAGTAACCAAAAAAGTGTTAAACAAATCAACCAACCTTTGCCTTGATGACCGCTTTGCACACTCTTGGCATTCTCTCAACCAGCTTCATGAGGTAGTCACCTGGAATGCATTTCAATTAACAGGTGTGTCTTGTTAAAAGTTAATTTGTGGAATTTCTTTCCTTCTTAATGCGTTTGAGCCAATAAGTTGTGTTGTGACAGGGTAGGGGTGGGTATACAGAAGATAGCCCTATTTGGTAAAAGACCAAGTCCATATTATGGCAAGAACAGCTCAAATAAGCGAAGATAAACGACAGTCCATCATTACTTTAAGACATGAAAGTCAGTCAATCCGGTCAATCCAGTCAAATTTCAAGATCTTTGAAAGTTTCTTCAAGTGCAGTCGCAGAAACCATCAAGCGCTATGTGGAAACTGGCTCTCATGAGGACCGCCACATGAAAGGAAGACCCAGAGTAACCTCTGCTGCAGAGGATAAGTTCCTTAGAGTTAACTGCACCTCAGATTGCAGCCCAAATAAATGCTTCACAGAGTTCAGGTAACAAACACATCTCAACATCAACTGTTCAGAGGATACTGCGTGAATCAGACTTTCATGGTCGAATTGCTGCAAAGAAACCACTACTAAAGGACACCAATAAGAAGAAGAGGTTTTATTGGGCCAAGAAACATGAGAGATGGACATTAGACCAGTGGAAATCTGTCCTTTGGTCCAAATTTGAGATTTTTGGTTCCAACCGCTGTGACTTCGTGAGACGCAGAGTAGGTGAATGGATGATCTCTGCATGTGTGGTTCCCACCGTGAAGCATGGAGGAGGAGGTGTGATGGTGCTTTGCTGGTGACACTGTCAGTGATTTATTTAGAATTCAAGGCACACTTAACCAGCATGGCTACCACAGCATTCTGCAGTGATACGCCATCCCATCTGGTTTGGGCTTAGTGGGACTAACATTTGTTTTTCAACAGGACAATGACCCAACACACCTCCAGGCTGTGTAAGGGCTATTTGACCAAGAAGGAGAGTGATGGAGTGCTGCATCAGATGACCTGGCCTCCACAATCACCCGACCTCAACCCAATTGAGATGGTTTGTGATGAGTTGGACCGCAGAGTGAAGGAAAAGCAGCCAACAAGTGCTCAGCATATGTGGGAAATAATTCCAGGTGAAGCTGGTTGAGAGAATGCCAAGAATGTGCAAAGCTGTCATCAAGGCAAAGGGAGGCTACTTTGAAGAATCTCAAATATTAAATATAATTTTATTTGTTTAACACTTTTCTGGTTACTACATGATTCCATATGTGTTATTTCATAGTTTTGATGTCTTCACTATTATTCTACAATGTTGAAAGTAGTAAAAATAAAGAAAAACCTTTGAATGAGTAGGTGTGTCCAAACTTTTGACTTTTACTGTATATACAGTGCATTCGGAAAGTATTCAGACCCCTTCACTTTTTCCACATTTTGTTATGTTACAGCCTTATTCTAAAATTGATTAAATAAATGTTTTTCCTCATCTATCTACCCACAATACCCCATAATGACAAAGCGAAAACAGGTTTAAAATTTTTCTTGCAAGTTTATAAAAAGAAAAAACTGAAATACCTTATTTACATTAAGTATTCAGACCCTTTGCTATGAGACTCGAAATTGAGCTCAGGTGCATCCTGTTTCTCCCGAGTTATCTCCCGAGTGGCGCAGTGGTCTAAGGCACTGCATCGCAGTGCTAGCTGTGCCACTAGCAACGCCAGGGTTGTGGATTCGATTCCCACAGGGGGTATGAAAAAATAAAAATATTGTATGCACTAACTGTAAGTCGCTCTGGATAAGAGTGTCTGCTAAATGACTAAAATGTAAATGTAAATGTTTCCATTGATCATCATTGAGATGTTTGTACAACTTGATTGGAGTCCACCTGTGGTAAATTCAATTGATACTGGCCAGTATGGGGGGCCAGTATGAAAAAAAAACATGTATGCACTCACTAACTGTAAGTCGCTCTGGATAAGAGCGTCTGCTAAATGACTAAAATGTAAATGTAAAATTTGGAAAGGCACACACCTGTCTATATAAGGTCCCACAGTTGACAATGCATGTCAGAGAAAACACCAAGCCTTGAGGTCAAAGGAATTGTACGTAGAGTGCTGAGACAGGATTGTGTCATGGCACAGATCTGGGGAAGGGTACCAAAAAATGTATGCAGCATTGAAGGTCCCCAAGAACACAGTGGCCTCAATCATTCTTAAATGGAAGAAGTTTGGAACCACCAACTCTTCCTAGAGCTGGCCGCCCGGCAAAACTGAGCAATCAGGGGAAAAGGGCCTTGGGCAGGGAGGTGACCAAGAACCCGATGGTCACTCTGACAGAGCTCCAGAGTTCCTCTGTGGAGATGGGAGAACCTTCCATCTCTGCAGTGCTCTACCAATCAGGCCTTAAATGTAGAGTGGCCAGACGGACAGCCTGCTTAGAGTTTGCCAAAAGGTACGTAAAGACTCTCAGACCATGAAAAACAAGATTCTCTGGTCTGAT